GCCCCGCCTCACCTCACCCCAGCCTTCCTCCCTCCGGCAGAGGCACAGGCCCCAGCCCTCAGACCTGCCCTCAGCCCCCACAGGCCCAGAGAGAGCAGCTCCCACACAGTAAAACTCCGCAGCCGGCCAGCAGCATGGAGGGATTCGTTTTTATTTCAAAAGACAGTAAGACAATTTTTCAATTTAGTATCAAAACACTCGATGGGGGTTTCTTTTTCTCCAGATTGGCCCCTAAAACTGCTACAACCAAGCAGCATGCTCAAACCACAAGCTACACACCGCGGGCTTGGCACGTCTCCACGCTTACGCCTCACAACTACACATCAGCAATGCACAGCAAGATGGCTTGTACCTTATTAAGACACTAAGAGCACTCCTGGCCAGGAGGGAAGGCCTCGGTTCCCTCCCCCAGGGTAGGCAAAAAAAACACTCCAAGAAAAACAAGGCTGTTGTACTTAAGCTGTTAAGTGTAACCCAGCAATGAGCGATAAAGCTTGGTGCGTCAGCACTTGGTGAAGGCAAATTCAACCCCTGTGTAGCAGTGGGTTAGAAGCAACCCCTGTGAAGGTCCAATTGTTCAGATAACAGGCTTGGCTTTAAAAAAAGAACGTCTCCTTTCACCCAAGTTGCTTCTCCACAACACAGAGAGTTACCTTAAAGCTGAGAAACTGAACTGCTCTTTTGGCAAACAGCTCCTGGAAAGGAAGTTTTCCCAACAGGCTTCCAGCCCTAGCCTGGCTACTCTGATTCAGTGGCCCACAGCCACAACCGTCACGCCCTCTCAACTCCCCCCTGCCAAAGCAGGGTGGCCCAGAGCCGAGTAACAGAAGGTTAATACCAAATTTTAAAGCCAAGAGCTTTGAAGTGAGCTCACCAGCCTCACGAGTTATTTGGAATGTTTACAATGGTTGCTACAAAAAAGGTAGTTACAAAATGTATACATCTCAAACATGCTCCCCAAACATTATTGCATTGTTTCTTTCCCTTAATAACGCTGTTTGAAGCTCTGCCCAACCTGATGGCCTTTAACCCTGAGGCGAAGGAGAAGATTCGCGTTTGGTCAAGTTGGCAACAGAAAGTAAACTCTGGTCCCCAAGGGTTAGAGGTCAGCAGCGGCTGGGGTGGCCCCCCCCGGCATCGTGTGGCCGAGGCAGTGGCAGGGATCCATTACATCTCATTCAGGTCTAGCAGGGTCTGGTCCAGCATTCTTTGTGTGCAGAGATGCTCCTCTTTGGTGGATTTCAGTTTATCTGGCAGGAAGCAAGAGACAAGAGTTACAAGGCAGCTTCAGACAACCGAGGAACCTTCGCCAAAGAAAGCTTGCACTAGCCCCTTCCCAGCACGCTGCCGCAGCAAGTCCTCAGACCGGGGGTGCCTGGCTGGGTGCAGCTAGAAGCTCTGAAGTTACCTGGCTCATTTGTAGCCCTTGCCTCTCGCATTGCCGGTGCTCCCAGTCGGCACGGTCACGATGTACTTTTAGCCAGTGCTCTAGGCAGTGTTTTGCATGCAGGTGACTGACTGCAGCTAGCTTTCCCCAGGCCTTTGACAGTCCCAGACAGCAGACCCCCGCCGTGGCCCAGCAAGCCACCCAAGAGCAACGTGGAGGTAAAACACACTTAGAAATCACCCCCTGGAGTAACAGCTGGTTGTGCTCCCCCCCCAGCACAGGACAGAGATGCCAAGCTGGTCGCCAAGACCACAACTACCTAGGCAGCAGGGAGCAGACAACCATGCCTCAAGGACAGCAGGGAAGAGGCTGGTTTCAGTGAAGGGCAGGCAGGGAGCAAGTAGGAGCAAGGGTGCTGCAACTCTGCCCGACACTACAGGCAGCCGCACAGTCGATTCTCACATGTTCCTTAAGCCAGGAGGAGAGCTCAGACCAGCAACTAGCGCTCTAGGTAGGCTTTACTCCAAAGGTCAGCCCACCCATATCACTGAAGACTTCCACAGGCTGGGACGCTGGATAGACAGGCTGTAAAAGATGTCCTTTAGGTACAGGCAGGTTCTCAAAGCCACTCCCCAACCTCCCCAGGGTCAGAAACCGTGCACAGTGAGAAGCAGCCTTCCTAGAGCACTAGCAGCTAGAGCGTTTAAACGTTCCCTGCAAGCACTGAAGACACAGCTTCATGCTGTGGATTTTGGGACTTGCTTTCAAGGTGTCCAGGAGCTTTCCCAACCTGTTCTGGGGCTCTGCAGCTGCACTGGAGTCAGGCCCCAAGAATGACCGCGTTCCCCAAACCTTCCAGGCTAGAACTCAACTATATAGGAAAGCACTACAGGTTTGCAGTGTCTTACAGACCACAAAGTCTGTCATTTATTGTTAGAAGCCATCATCCCATGCAGCAGGAAATCCTACAGTCATTCAGCTAACAGTAAATGAAGTCGTAGCACTTGACAGGCATCTTTTAGCAGACATAAGCCTCACTTCACCCCACCCCTCCCTTGGTGGGTGCTGTCATTCTGGTTCCACAGAGGAGCCAGGCAGGACCCCCTGGACAAGGGCTCAAAAGCCAGCCAAGTCTAAGGGTTACTTCACCAAGAACAGAGGTTACCTTTATAAAAAAAACCCAACAACTTTTAAATAAATTAGAGGATAAATTCAAGTGCCCCATTAAATAGCAGCAATTGCATAAAATTTGCAAGTCTGCCAGTTTTAAGATCAGATTTCACTGTGGTCCACAGCTTTGGTGGTCGCAATAAGCTTGCTTAATGGCATTAGTGGGCCCCCTTCTCAGTCACACAGATCATGCAGCGTTAACTTCAGCTCGTTAGAGAGCAGGCGGTTTTTCTCAAGCTGGCTGTACAGGCGCTCTGGAGCAGCAACAGGATTAGGGGAAACAAGAGGAAGAGAGAAAAAGAGAGAAAGGGAAGGTTAGTAGAGTACCAAGATGAGCACATCAAATAAGCTGTCTCCATAACCTCTGAGGACCAGTCTAGGCTATTACACAGACAAATCCAGGGAGAACAAAGGTTTGTCTTGCTCTAACTCGGGTTTCAGCTCAGGAAGATCACAGAGGAAACCAAGTGCGGGCAGAAATGGAAGCGCTGCCAAGGGCTTGCAAAGGCAAAGAAAGGAAGAGGAGAACACCAGAGGAGGAGCCTGCAGGCTGGGCTGTACCCAAGTAAGGAGAGACACTTGGGATGTGCTTTAAGCCTGCAGAGCACTCTGCAGAAAGAAGTAGTCCTACCACAGCTGAACCAGAAGCACTTTCCAGAGTGAGCCACACCACAGAGCAGTGGGATTGATGGGGTTAACAGTAGGATGGGGACATCAGAAGAACTGAGAATGACAGCATCAGACCTGGAGGACACTCCAGGAACATGCCTTTGTGCCACCCTAACAACCCACCGCACCCAGACAGGAACTGAAGGCAGTACCTGCTTCGGGTACAGGACAGAGGGAGTTCTGGAGCACAGGCTTCTATTGTACATCTGCCTCAGAACAACTAAATGAGCAGGGCACAAGCTGCCACTGCATCTGACAGCCTTCACCTCCCACCCAGTCCCTGTCCTTACAGCCTCACAGGGCTCCAGCACCCACACTTGTCGCCGAGGCTGGTACCAAGTACACGTGCTCATCAGCAACTCCAGGAAAGGGAGAACCAGTCTGATCCTCTCCCTGGACAGGTCGCCTCTTGGGACTGGATGGCCACTGTCCTGCCATGCAGCCTGTCAGCCACAACAGCCACCGCAGAGAACCAGTTCATCATCTATCTCTGCCCAGCTGCACAGGCAGGGTCCTCCAAGTCCGACAACTCCAATTCCTGCATTTGGGGCAATTCCAGGCAGTGAAAAATCCTTATAAAACAGCTTCCAGCCTGGCAGAACCAATCATCATGAACTGTAGATATACACAGTGTGCTGCCTCTGCCTGATGAGCAAGCATAAAGCCCAGGAGTTCTTGCTGGCCTGAGGCTTCTTCTCAATTTCTTGTACTACAAGGTTCCTAGGAATCCAGGGCACCCTCCGAAGGGGATCTACACCATTCCTCGTGGCTTTCAGTTGGCTGTGGTTTAACCCAGCAGCCGGCAACTGAGCACCAGGCAGCTGCTCACTCACCCTTCCCCTTCCCTAGATGGGGAGGAGAAACGGACAAAAGGTGAAGCTTGTGGGTTGAGATAAGCACAGTTTAATAAGACAAAAGAAATGCTAATACAATTTGAAATAATTATTATATTTTGCATAATGAATATTCAAAACAAGCTATTTACAATATAATTTTCTCACCCCCCGACAACTGATTCGCAGCCATTTGCCAAACAGCAAATCACAGAATCCACAGAATCCAGAACTGAGTTTGCAGAATTCACAAAATTCCCAAAAAAGACTGAACTCCCAGAAAAGAAAGAATTAGAACTCACACAGAGAAAGAGAAAAAAGGATTCCTGCGCCCCCAGCCAACCCCGCTTTATAAACTGAGCATGATGTCCATGGCATGGAATATTTCTCTCAGGCAGCTTGGGCTAGCTGTCTGGCAGTGCTGCTGCACACCTGCTCATCAGCTGAGTATGAGAAACTGGGAAAAGTCCTTGATTTCATAGCAACAGCTGAAAACATCAGCATTATCAACATTCTTCTCCTACTAAATCCAAACCACAGCAGCTACTGGGAGGAAAATGAACTCTATCCCAGCCAAAACCAGGACACAACCTAGGAATCTTTTGCTCTTGAAGAAGACCTGGCCAGGTAAGCCTCAGGACAGAGCCAAGCTCCCCACACAGAGCAGCCAAAGCACATCCCCCTCTCCAGGGAGTCTCAGCCCACTCCCTCCGGCACGACAGCCACACACAAGGGGGGGAGCTCACCTTTCAGTGAAGGGCAGGCAGGGAGCAAGTAGGAGCAAGGGTGCTGCAACTCTGCCCGACACTACAGGCAGCCGCACAGTCGATTCTCACATGTTCCTTAAGCCAGGAGGAGAGCTCAGACCAGCAACTAGCGCTCTAGGTAGGCTTTACTCCAAAGGTCAGCCCACCCATATCACTGAAGACTTCCACAGGCTGGGACGCTGGATAGACAGGCTGTAAAAGATGTCCTTTAGGTACAGGCAGGTTCTCAAAGCCACTCCCCAACCTCCCCAGGGTCAGAAACCGTGCACAGTGAGAAGCAGCCTTCCTAGAGCACTAGCAGCTAGAGCGTTTAAATGTTCCCTGCAAGCACTGAAAACACAGCTTCATGCTGTGGATTTTGGGACTTGCTTTCAAGGTGTCCAGGAGCTTTCCCAACCTGTTCTGGGGCTCTGCAGCTGCACTGGAGTCAGGCCCCAAGAATGACCACGTTCCCCAAACCTTCCAGGCTAGAACTCAACTATATAGGAAAGCACTACAGGTTTGCAGTGTCTTACAGACCACAAAGTCTGTCATTTATTGTTAGAAGCCATCATCCCATGCAGCAGGAAATCCTACAGTCATTCAGCTAACAGTAAATGAAGTCGTAGCACTTGACAGGCATCTTTTAGCAGACATAAGCCTCACTTCACCCCACCCCTCCCTTGGTGGGTGCTGTCATTCTGGTTCCACAGAGGAGCCAGGCAGGACCCCCTGGACAAGGGCTCAAAAGCCAGCCAAGTCTAAGGGTTACTTCACCAAGAACAGAGGTTACCTTTATAAAAAAAACCCCACAACTTTTAAATAAATTAGAGGATAAATTCAAGTGCCCCATTAAATAGCAGCAATTGCATAAAATTTGCAAGTCTGCCAGTTTTAAGATCAGATTTCACTGTGGTCCACAGCTTTGGTGGTCGCAATAAGCTTGCTTAATGGCATTAGTGGGCCCCCTTCTCAGTCACACAGATCATGCAGCGTTAACTTCAGCTCGTTAGAGAGCAGGCGGTTTTTCTCAAGCTGGCTGTACAGGCGCTCTGGAGCAGCAACAGGATTAGGGGAAACAAGAGGAAGAGAAAAAAAGAGAGAAAGGGAAGGTTAGTAGAGTACCAAGATGAGCACATCAAATAAGCTGTCTCCATAACCTCTGAGGACCAGTCTAGGCTATTACACAGACAAATCCAGGGAGAACAAAGGTTTGTCTTGCTCTAACTCGGGTTTCAGCTCAGGAAGATCACAGAGGAAACCAAGTGCGGGCAGAAATGGAAGCGCTGCCAAGGGCTTGCAAAGGCAAAGAAAGGAAGAGGAGAACACCAGAGGAGGAGCCTGCAGGCTGGGCTGTACCCAAGTAAGGAGAGACACTTGGGATGTGCTTTAAGCCTGCAGAGCACTCTGCAGAAAGAAGTAGTCCTACCACAGCTGAACCAGAAGCACTTTCCAGAGTGAGCCACACCACAGAGCAGTGGGATTGATGGGGTTAACAGTAGGATGGGGACATCAGAAGAACTGAGAATGACAGCATCAGACCTGGAGGACACTCCAGGAACATGCCTTTGTGCCACCCTAACAACCCACCGCACCCAGACAGGAACTGAAGGCAGTACCTGCTTCGGGTACAGGACAGAGGGAGTTCTGGAGCACAGGCTTCTATTGTACATCTGCCTCAGAACAACTAAATGAGCAGGGCACAAGCTGCCACTGCATCTGACAGCCTTCACCTCCCACCCAGTCCCTGTCCTTACAGCCTCACAGGGCTCCAGCACCCACACTTGTCGCCGAGGCTGGTACCAAGTACACGTGCTCATCAGCAACTCCAGGAAAGGGAGAACCAGTCTGATCCTCTCCCTGGACAGGTCGCCTCTTGGGACTGGATGGCCACTGTCCTGCCATGCAGCCTGTCAGCCACAACAGCCACTGCAGAGAACCAGTTCATCATCTATCTCTGCCCAGCTGCACAGGCAGGGTCCTCCAAGTCCGACAACTCCAATTCCTGCATTTGGGGCAATTCCAGGCAGTGAAAAATCCTTATAAAACAGCTTCCAGCCTGGCAGAACCAATCATCATGAACTGTAGATATACACAGTGTGCTGCCTCTGCCTGATGAGCAAGCATAAAGCCCAGGAGTTCTTGCTGGCCTGAGGCTTCTTCTCAATTTCTTGTACTACAAGGTTCCTAGGAATCCAGGGCACCCTCCGAAGGGGATCTACACCATTCCTCGTGGCTTTCAGTTGGCTGTGGTTTAACCCAGCAGCCGGCAACTGAGCACCAGGCAGCCGCTCACTCACCCTTCCCCTTCCCTAGATGGGGAGGAGAAACGGACAAAAGGTGAAGCTTGTGGGTTGAGATAAGCACAGTTTAATAAGACAAAAGAAATGCTAATACTATTCGAAATAATTATTATATTTTGCATAATGAATATTCAAAACAAGCTATTTACAATATAATTTTCTCACCCCCCGACAACTGATTCGCAGCCATTTGCCAAACAGCAAATCACAGAATCCACAGAATCCAGAACTGAGTTTGCAGAATTCACAAAATTCCCAAAAAAGACTGAACTCCCAGAAAAGAAAGAATTAGAACTCACACAGAGAAAGAGAAAAAAGGATTCCTGCGCCCCCAGCCAACCCCGCTTTATAAACTGAGCATGATGTCCATGGCATGGAATATTTCTCTCAGGCAGCTTGGGCTAGCTGTCTGCCAGTGCTGCTGCACACCTGCTCATCAGCTGAGTATGAGAAACTGGGAAAAGTCCTTGATTTCATAGCAACAGCTGAAAACATCAGCATTATCAACATTCTTCTCCTACTAAATCCAAACCACAGCAGCTACTGGGAGGAAAATGAACTCTATCCCAGCCAAAACCAGGACACAACCTAGGAATCTTTTGCTCTTGAAGAAGACCTGGCCAGGTAAGCCTCAGGACAGAGCCAAGCTCCCCACACAGAGCAGCCAAAGCACATCCCCCTCTCCAGGGAGTCTCAGCCCACTCCCTCCGGCACGACAGCCACACACAAGGGGGGAAGCTCACCTCCACCCAGCGAGCCTCAGCCCCTGCTCTAGCTGCACCTCACTCTGCAGAACAGGGGGGTAATGCAGATGGATTGTCCCTCTTCAAAGCTACAAAGGGACCAAGCAACAGCCAGAGAAACCAATGTTTTCTGTCCCACTGCAATCTAACCAGAAGCTGAGGGAAGTTGTGGCATGGGGGAATGGGTACACCCCATGCCAGCCTACACCAGAGCCCATCTTGCACATCAGGTACTACTGCTGCTGCGAGGAACTCACTCCTGGCCTCCATGCTGGCTCTGAGCAGGTACGCTGAGCACCCCAACACCAGTCTCCAGCCCCAGGTGATCAGGGCTGGTCCTGGGTCTCCAGAGTGGCAGAGGATGGGAGTGAACTGCGCTCAGAAGTACCAGTGACTGCAGGCTGGTGCAACAGCTCACAGCCTTCAAGCAAGTGTTGCTGCTTGTGGACAGGGACCTGATGATCCACCCACATGAGAGCACAGACTGACTAAATTAGCATGACACTTCCTAGACCTCAGGAACAGCTTCTCAACATGGAATGCTTGTCCAGTCTGCGGGGACTAGCTCCAGTGTCTGGCCTGCTCCCTTCTCCACCCAGCCCGCCGGGCAGCCTTACCACCCATCCTTGCAACCTGGGGAGCTCCAGGCCCTGTGCCTCCTGGTCAGCAAACCTGTGTTTGCAGCCACTCCTGAGTCAGCAGCCCAGGTCACAGGAACCAGCCTGCACAAGCCTAGCAATCCAGTCAGACCAGAAGTCTCTCAAAACCTCCCAGTGCAGACGTTGCATCACCCACTCATCCATCTACCACCCAGAGCAGACTTCCACCAGGACGAGCAGTGAAAGGGCCTGCCACAGCCCAGCCTTTGATAACATCACTTGCAACACCACTGTGCAACAGCAGAGCCACCAGCTCTACACAGTGTGAGTCAGTAAAACCCACAGCTGACAGGACCTCCCCATGAGGAGAGAGGCCATTTCACAAGGGCAGGTTGCCACCTCCCACCTGGTATGAGCTGGCACCCAAATGCTGGGCTGGAAGCCTTGGCACACCCAGACACTCACAGCAGCCGCCCTGCCCCTCCCGCACGATTGGGACCCCCTGCTCCAGCTGCAGGTTTGGTTACTGAGGAGTTATGGGTTCTTCCTTTGTGCTTACAGGGCACACAGTTATTGCCCCATGCACCAGGAGAATCAGACCACCATCTGCCAGACCCTTCTAAGCTATCAGCCTTTGAAATTCCTTGTGGGAATACTCCCTCCTTCCTCACCCAGACCCATCGGAGAGGGGGCAGCCCTGACACAGAAGACAGAGTGAGGACAGGCTGGGGCAGTTCAGTGTGTCTGGCCTATCCTTGCTGCTAGTGCCGTTTGTGCGGAGAACGGAGTGACACAAACCTGAGGAAACCACGGGAGGTGTCCCATTTCATCAAAACTCCGTTCGTGAAGGGCTCTTCGGGCACTGTGGTAGATGAACCAATCCAGAAAGGAAAAAGTATTTGACCAGCCACCACGAGGCAGCACACACAGGTACCAGAGTCTGACCAGCATTTATGATATCAGAGCAACCAGCAACAGACTCAGGCCAGCAGTGACGCACGTCAAGTGTTTGCAGCCCGCTGCCAGCTGCAGTGCTCAGTGTAAAGCTCCATGCCACGCTCCCGGGAGGACCCTGTCACCCTCAGCCCCTGCACAGGGAGGGGAGGTCTCCACAAAACACACGTTCCCTGGCTCAGACACCCTTAGCCCTGCTGCAGTGCGTTCTCATTCCTGAACCAAGGGCCCACACATCCCTCCCATTGACACCAGCAGCACCTTGCACACCCAACCCATCCCACCCAACTGGAAACCAGCCAGACCTCGCTTGATATTTATTAGCTTTTCACATCCTGCCAGTGACCTAGTGACTACCAGGTGTGGTGACGTCCCACTGCAAGCCTGCGCTTGGCAGCCGATGCCAAGGAACACTCCAGAGCAGGCAGGTGAGGAGTGTCTTCAGCCAGGCTGAAGCAGGCACAGCTCGAGGACTTCCTGCTGCAAACCCCCAGCCTCCTGTCTGCCCCTACAGAGCATGCTGCGCGCTGAGGCACCGTTGGCAGAGCTGCAATTCACATCTGCGAGCCAATAAGACACCCAAAGGGAAAAATCCGGTGCGTTAATGAAGTCTGTGTATTCCGCCAAGGGTGATGAGGGTTACACCGGTTTGAAGGCAACATTGAAACAGTTACTCTAAAGCAGCAAGTGGTCACTAGAAACCCATTTCTCAAAAGCACCAGCCGTTCCATTCAATTTATACAAGAATTGTTTTCCTTAAAAAAGGTGACGACATGCTCAAGCAAGAGGCAAGAGAAATACAAAAGGAGCTTTATGGCTCTACACAAGATATGCATACGAGAACAACATACTCCCAGCTACACCCAGACATTGAAAGGGCAGCCCCTCAGAGCACAGCAGTGTCTGGCACATCGGGTCAAACAGAGGGAGCTTTGTTTAGGAGCAAGTGCAGCATGACCGGTGGGCTGCTGCTGCTGTCAAGCTTCAGCGTCTTTACAGCACTCGTTCCCAGGGATGCCCTGTGCACAGTAACTGGAAAAAAGTACTGGAATTCAGAGCCAGATGACAAGAGCACGAATGCAGGGCGCAGATGCAGAACAAGCCACCAAGCAGAGGCAAATCCAAAGTGGAGTTTGGAATCGCAAGACTTATCTGTGTGAGACAGAAGGAGACACTAATTTTAAGAGAAGCTCAAGTGTTTGTGCACAGCAAACTTTGCTTAGGGAGCTTTCAGACGCTAGCGTTAAGGCTCTCCCCCTGCAGCGCAAGTACCTGGCCTCTCCTCGGTTAGTGGTAAGGACTGTGCGGAGCAGCTGTTAGCAGAACCCATCGCAAACCTGAACAAAAAGCCGAGTAGCAAAGTGGCAGAAACATACGAGTTCAGCTACTTCCACAGATCAGTTCATGATCCAGCCCATCGCAAGCCTGTTACGGCAATTCCTAAGGAATCCACTCAAGCAGCCTCTTCCAGGAGGAATCCTGAGACCATGGCTCAGCGGCTCTAGCAGACAACTAAGCCGCATTACCTTAGGAAGCCTTTCCCAGCAGGACTGGGAATTGCACTCGTAGAGTTCAAGTCAGAACCCTTTCAGGCCAGCACAGCACTCAGTGTTACGCATGCAGATCACAAGGACCTAGAGTTAGAACACAGCATGCTGCAGGGAAGCCTCCACGATCCTCAAGGCAGAGATCTGTAGAAGTAACCTAGACACAGTGCCATTGATTCTCCAACTATGAAAATCACAGCAAACCAAGCAAGCTCTGGCAGTCTAGCCTGCTGAAGCGAGAGGCGAACACCAGCCAGCTCATATTTACATGGAAGTCATGTCATTCAGGGCGTGGTCCAGTTCCTCACTAATTGCTTTGTACTTCAGTTTCTGGGCATAGAGCTCATCTAGAAGAGGTTTAGGAGGAGAACAAAAGGGAAACAATGAGGGATGGCAGAGGAGTTCTTCCAACACCCTGGGGCAGGAAAAGAAGTATGGGATTCATGAACAGAAGAAAATTAGGTTAGATGTGGAGCCATCACAATTCCGTATCAGTTCCCGACAATGAACAGGAGGGTTCCAACAGCCTGAGGACAGTCTGACCAGCAAGCGCCTTCCAGGATTACAAACCAGCTTCAACTGAAGCAGAGCCAAGAACTCAAACCACATCAGCTTGTGAAAAGCTGCCCAGCTAGGTCAGCAAGAACCACCGACAGGAGCAGCAGGGAAGGGCAACTCCATCCACTTAGGGAGAAGATTGCTACACCCAAGGAAGGCACAGATCAGTTGAGGCGCTCTGTTCTCATCTTCAGTCTCCATAAAAAAACCTGCTTGGGAGAAGCCAGTCATGTAATAGTCCTGGGCATCAGAGGGAATTCCCATCCTGTAGTACACAGCCAGGCAGGGTGAGCCGAACAGACAGGCCACACCCGTGTTCTCTATCAGATAATGGAGCAGAGATCACCCGCGTTCAGGGGAGGAGGCAGTCCTGAAACCCGAACTGATGCGCTCCTTGAGCACTGTGCAGAGCTGGCACAGGCTTCTCCCAGCTCCGGCCTGCCTAGGCTACAGTACAGCTGGTAACGTCGTTAACAGCTTCGCAGGACCCAGAGAACTTTGTCAGTTGTCAAACTAGGTCACTTCAGCAGCAAGGCTGGAGACCGGAGCCAACTCTCCATCAACATGTTTCAAGGGGAGCATGCAGGGATTTGGAGGAGTTTTTGCAGTTCCAAATAAAAGCTTGCCCTGGATCATGAGCTGGCTCAGACTGCTGCTTGGCTACGGTTCTGGAACAGCTCAGCTGACACCATTGCTATTTCTAGATTAAAAAAACCTCCTGAGTGACTCCAGACAGTAGGATATGGCTTTGAATCTCCAAGACCTGGCACTAAAAGACCACAAAGGCACATGCTGTGGTCGAGGCAGGAGGCCTGTAAGAGTTTTGGTTTACCAGCACCACCATTCCGGCCACAGCTATCCACAGCAGAACCTGGCCACAGCCCCAGATTTAAGGGAGGCACTTGGAACCTTCTCCTTCCGTGGCTTGGGGAAAGGTGTAGGATTCTGCGATGACTGGCCTCAGGAGTGCTCCTGAAGTACTGTGAAACCAGGAACAGGAGGAAGAAAGCAAGCCATCCTTGGCACAGGCTGACCACCACACTACATGGATGGGGCTTCTGGTGATTCGATACTGAACCAGGACTGACACCGAGGAGTCCGAGTCTTCATGGAGGCTGTTTCAAGGCTCACTGACTACTGTGGTTGACTTGCAACAACACTGTCTGCAGCAGCCAGCCACGTGCATGAGATGCTGCATACGAGCGTGTTATTGTAACCAATTCCTGCAGAGTTCAGGCAGTTTTTTTTTCCCTATGCCACTCAAACTGGGTTATAGCTGGAGCATAGGAATCCAGTTACTTTCCTGAGGACATCACAATCAAGATACACCGGCCGCACTATCTGTCACTGTCAGTCAGATACGACAAGGTGTTTGGATCAAGAGCTTGACAGCTGCTGCGGCACAGCCAGGGAACTGTTTTCAGAGTAGATACACGAGGCACAACTCACAAGCCCAGAGGCACCAAGCCTCACCATGGAGGCCAAGTTAGGTCATGCTCCAAGTATCAAGGAGCAGCGTCCCCGCTCTCCACCTATCTGGGAGACAGCCTTCCTCAGCTCCCCACTCCTCACCACACATCCCTTGGCTTCCCATCCCCACAACATACCTTCCAAATCATCAATGGTCTTCTCCAGCTTGGCTACAGACCGTTCAGCAAATTCAGCACGGGTCTCTGCCTGCCAGACAGGAGGAAGCCAGTTGGTACAAGAGCTTTGGTATACAGCAAAGGACTACAGAGGCATCAGCTGAGGACATGAAGTCTCCCATCTGCCACATCTCTCCCCAGTCAAGCTGAGACCAGCTCATCCATCTGGGCCATCCTGACATGGTCACTCACCTCTTTGAGTTTATCAGTCAGGATCTTGATCTCTTCTTCGTATTTATCCTCTTTTTGAGAGTACTGCGGAAAAGGAGAGGAGTCAGCCATCAGCAGCCCTAGGTACCTCCCGCTACAGAGGGAGACTTAAAACTCCTCACTGCAGCGCACACACCCCCAGAAACTTTCAACTGGGAGTTGTTCACAGCCCTACCCTAGTCCAACAGAACTGGGTCAGGCAGCAAGTCCCACATCGTGCACACAAACTTGGGCGCAGAAAAATTCTCATCCCAGCAGCATAAACATCTTGGCTGATCAGGTCTGCCCCGAGGCAGGGAAGGGCAGCCAGACTTCCCACACTGCCAGTTTCTACAGTCAACATCAGCCCAGCACCAAAATCCGTTAGCTCTCCTAGGAGAGCAAGCACAGCTCTCCTCGCTTGCTTAAGGCTGCGGTTGCATCATTTCCATCCCAGTGGGTGCTCTGCTGTCACACACCCTTCTAGCAAAACAGAAATGTTCCTGGCCCTTGGACAAACAGCCCTACCTTCTCAGCCTGAGCCTCAAGAGACTTGAGATTGTTGGTGACATTCTTCAGCTCTTCTTCCAGCTCGGAACATTTACTGTGGGGGTTTGTAAAGAAAGGGGGGAAAAAAAAGGAAGAGAAGTGGGAGGAAAAGACAGGAGAGACAAGAAGTGAATCCATGTGCAGGTAAGACCAGGAAGTTCTTTAGGAGACAGTCTGGGATCAGACTGGATGGGACCCTGCTTTGAGGCACTTGCACGGAAAGCAAGTTCCCTTCCTGCCTCCAAGTTCTCATTTGAAGTATTCTGCCAGCACATGCGCAGGGCACTGAGCTGAGCAGCTGAGATGTGGACACAGATTTCTGCCAGACCTGGAGTCTTCAAGTAGAAGCTGCATGTTTAGTTTGCTGTAAGGAGGGAAGCTGCTCTGACGGACAGGTGGACAGCCACCACCAGCACTCAGACAGGAATATTTATGGACAGAGAGGACAGAACATTCCAGGAGAGAGAAAGACAGCTAAGCTGAGGGAAGGAGCGTAGCAATATGACCACAAGGCTTCTGGTTTAATGGTTTGAGAAGGGGAAAGGTTAGTACCTTTTCTTCGGCAACAGACAGACACTTCAAGTTCTGGTCCATCACTCTGATCTGCTCCTGCAGCTCCCGGCAACGACTGTTAGTGACGGTCACACGATGGCACAAGCCAGGTGGGGGCAAGGGTCAAAAGGAGCACCAATAACACAATACCACAGAGCAAAAAAGGAGGTAGGGGAAAAACACAAAGAAGTCATGGTCATGACATGCATGTCTGGGCAGGAAGCACACTGCTACTGCTGCGTACACACCAACTTTGTTAGACAAGGCCCAGAGCACAGAAAGGCCCTGACCAGCTCCTCAAGGACCAGCTCAAGCATCCGGACACATGAAAGGAGCCCAAACGCCACAATTTGCGTGCCTGCTCTCGAGCAGAGGAAGTCCAGCTTGCTGCTCAGCAGTGCAGAAGTCTTGTAGTACTACTGCAAATATTTTAAGAGGCCAAAGACCAACCTCAGCCACAGTTCTGCCCTTGGACATCCCACATGCCACTCCAGCTCCCAGCACAGGTGGTCTCTGCCACTACTTTAGGCCAAGCGCTGTGCACTCACATGCCCCGTAGCAACGTGTAAGGGCCTTGTGACCATACGTACAAAGCAGTGCTGGTGAACACCAAGTGGAGAGTTCTCTGACCTCGCTAACAGGGAGTCCCTCCATGCAAAGGGGCAGAACATCTCCACTACCAGGCAAATCACATCATCACAAACTCCACATCCTCAGTGGATCTAATCCTGGTCCGAGCAGGAGGGTGCTTCCCACTCTTTCAGCTGCGGATCTAAACCCACCCTGTGCTTCAGGCCTTGTGTAACAAGGTTAGAAATGCTGTGTTAGTTCCCATGCAAAGGTAGACATGTCAGTTACGTGCGAGCAGATTACTCACGACTCTGCAAGCTCAGCTCTCTCTTCAGTACGCTCCAGATCTCCTTCTATGATCACCAGTTTCCGAGCAACCTGGAAGGGAGAATGGGAGTTAAGAGGAAGGAAGGTAATTTTGTACTTGCAGGCTGTGCAAGGCAGTAAAGGTAACGCGTGCAGGAGTCACTGGAGCTGTTGGAGTCTTTTGGCTAAGGGGAACACTGACATAACCCTGCTGAGAGCCAGGCTCTCCCCCTGGGTTTGCTGAGGAAAGCCCAGTCAGCAAGGAAGAAGAGCTGTCTCTCCTGGCCAGGGTCGGCTGTACTGGAGCAGCCAAGGCTCTCACCTCCTCATACTTCCTGTCCGCCTCCTCTGCAATGTGCTTGGCTTCTTTCAGCTGGATCTCCTGCAGTTCCATCTTCTCCTCATCCTTCAGAGCTCGGTTTTCAATGACTTTCATGCCTCTGCCCAAAAGAAAGCACAGGGAGGGGAGATGTTATAAAGCAATCCCGTACAAGCCAGCAGCGTAATGAGTTTCAGAGCATTAACAGTGCTCCCCTGGGACCACGCTGCTTCCTCCTGAGCCACGACACCTCCCAGTGCAGAGGGTAGCACAGGAAGGCAGACACCGCTGGGCTGATGCAAATACTGAAGCCTTGATTGCTCAAAATTAACTGTTCCTTGGAGCATTACTCCAGCAGCTCATCGGGCTCCTGGACCAAGGGAAACGTGGTGCTGCCGAGAAGGACAAGCCAGACTGTCTTAGGGACTCCACAGGGCTGAGCCAAGCTCTTTCCGGGCTGGAATGCAGGAAGCGCCAAGTCCATCTTTATGGCAGGACATCAGCTGGGTCAGGCTGCGCGCTACAGCGTGCACACTGACAAAGCACACCAGCCAACGGGAAGCAGACCGCTCCCCTCTGAATCACACCACCAGGTCAGGGGACATCTGCCAGCAGGGGCAGCGGGAAGAGATGCTTCCCCACCAGCAGCCACCTTTACAAGTCACTGGCATCCCAGAACCCATGTTATTTCTCCTCCCTTCGAGGCGGGGATGCACAGCAGCACACAGCACTTACTCGCTCTTTAGCCTCAGGTTCCAAGCCACTCGCTCAAGGCCAAGAGCATTGTCTTAGCTGCTCTGCATAAGCAGGTACCGACTCCCACATCCAGCCTTGATGTGGTATCTACTTCCCACCCTCTAGGAAGCCCAAGAGGTTGATGGCACCAGGCCCTCAGTCAGGAACAGATCCAAGATGTCTGACGGAGTGAGAGCAGCAGCCCTTGCTCACCTTTCACTTTCATCTGCAGCCTTCTCCGCCTCTTCCAGCTTCTGCAGAGCTGTGGCAAGGCGCTCCTGGGCTCGGTCCAACTCCTCCTCTACCAGCTGGATACGGCGGTTCAAAGATGCCACTTCTGCCTCAGCCTAGAGGGAGCAGATGAGGCCGACTCAGTCTGGGGCAGGTGTAGCAGTTAGTGCAGGGCAGCAGAGCTCTGCCTTCAGGTCAGCATCAGCACATTGGAAGCCAAAATAAAGCCAGGGTGCTTTATCCACTTTCTTACAGAGGCTGCACTCCCTCACGCTTGCACACACGTTAAGCTTCGCAACCGTTCACACACGCTTTGTCTGCACAGCCGTCATCCTGCAGGTTTCTCGCCTGTCAGCTTGAGCTGACGTGACAGTTTAAGCCATAAACACTAAGTAGATGACTTAAGCTAATGGGTCTTCTCTGCAGCTGCTGTAATCCTGCCAGGCCATCAATCACAGTCCTATTTATCCACCACACCAGAGCTCCGTGACAGCTACCATTTAGCACAAAGTCGGTTTACTCACGTGATCTGGACATGAGCATTGCTTGAAACAAGCCCTCTCACCACCAACGTGAGGAAGATTAACAGCTTCAGAGGTCTGACAAACTGTGTCAAGGCGCTGGCAGGCCACGCTTTCTACCGCGCTGCCCCGACCCCGGGAGCAGCAGGGCTTGGCCGATCGCTGTAGTGCCCACAACCCCAGCAGCTCAAGCTCCGGAGAGCCAGCTGTGCTCCAGGCTTCCTTCCTCCCAGCAATTCACTAATAACCCAGAGAAAGAGCAAAAGCCTCATCCAGTCTTGAGACAGGTTGAGAAGGCTGTTCCCCAGCAACAGCCACACGCAGACAGCCACCTCAGTTCAGTCGCACACACCAGGAGCCGGCGAAATTGCCAAGCGCCCACAGGCGCCGCATATTTGCCAGAAGCGTGACCACAAAAGTGACCGAGGCTTTCACGAATCAGCGGAGATCAGAAGCCATCACACCCCCTCCAGCCAGGCTTGTTCCAGCAGCGCTGCTACCGACCACGATGTGTCTGCTTAGGGCCCGGTCTGCGCCAACCCTGGCCACAGCCTGGACACTGACAGCCCACCCGAGCCGCCCCAGGTCCTGCTCTCCAGCGGGATGACGGCGCCGGTGGAAAGACGGTCAGGGCTGCAGCCATCTCAGGGCAGCACCACGATCTTCCACACAGACACGTGCACAGGCACATGCCAGGCGTATATGAAATATCCCAGCTACGTGTAACAAAGCAGCCTGCAAGGACACGCTGCTTCTACCCGTGCCCGAGGAGGGAGGAGCAGAGCGATGAAAGCAGCCAGTGTTAGAGCAGGGCCCGACACAAATCACGTTCAGTTCCCGAGAGCTGTCCGAGCTCTTCCCCCGGTCAGCAGCGAGGCAACCCCCACAGCACGCTTCGAGAGCGGGTTGTGAGAAGACAAGAGGAGCTCCCAGCACAGCCCGCTCTTCACCAGGAAAACCCCCAACACCTCGATGCTCGAACAAGGCAGCGCAGTGGGGAGCTGCCCCAGAGCCAGCCCCGCCGGCACGTTCTGCCAGAGGAGGAAGTGGTCTGCTCAAAGGGAACAAAACGAGACATTAAACAGAGCCGGGAAGGGGACTACTTAACACATCTTTTGCCTATTAAAGAGGCAACGAGCTGTCAAGGTGGAGAGCCTCCTCCTTCTCCCAGGGGATGGAGACATGCCAGCGCAGCAGGCCTCTGTTTCCTGACCCCCTGAACCACATCATTTAGCCCTGACTTCCTGCAGGCAGCACTTCATCCACCCAACAAAAAAACCAAACCCTTTGCTTTTAGGGAACTGCCTCTCTCCCTCCACAGAAGCGGCTTTACACCTCCCTCTCTGCTCCTCCGCGCCGGATACAGCTGAAGCTGTCTGCCTGCCCTGGAGCCCGGGAGTGATGCTTCCACGCAGCCCCGCTGCCGAGCAGCTTCCCTCGGGAAGGCAGCCCCAAGTCAGGGAGCTACCGGAGCCCTGCAAGCCAAGGGCAGAGCTCACCCCGGCCTTCGCAGCTCACCGTCACTCCCCCAGGCCACAGAGACCTAACGGGGACACTCCTCAGGACCCAAGGGCCAGGCCACAGGGTGAGTACAAGATGCCACTACACTGGGAGCACTGGTTCTCTCCCCTGTACTGGGGCTCCAGCAAGAAACACGCACGTTCCCATGACAACGCCGCTACTGCAAGAGAATTCCTTATGTGGCTGCAAGGCAAGAGCCCCGCTGAGGTCTGGGAGTGGCCTGGTCCCACGGCACGGCTGCCATCGGTCTCCGGAGCGAAGCCCGACCAGCCCCGCGGGCACCGGCACCACCGGGGGCAGAAAACCCTCAGCTTCACGTTTTGAACGGAGTCGGCAGCGAAGTCCCCGCGCGGATTTGCGGAGAGTCACGCTCAGCTCCGAGCCCGGCGCCTGCGAGTGCCCCACGTCACCCCGTGC